TAATCATTTACCAAAGCACTATGTTCTTTCCTCTCCCAGAATCATTCAGGATGCACCTTTATAAAAATAAGCAATTTCACATTGTCCCAATTTGGCCTTTTAGTATTATATTTGCCTTATGTCTTTCATTTAAATTTTAAATATACATTTTGTTCACTATTAATATGCTACCTACATTATCTCATTTAGTCCTCCTAAAAGCCCTGTGAGATAGGTATTATTATTATTATTATTATTATTATTATTATTATCATTTTACACATTAGAAAATTTGAGTTCAGGAAGGTTAAATAACCTATCCAAGTTTGCATGTTTGGTGAAAGTAAGAATGGAGGTTTAAAACCCATGACCGTCAAAGTCCATGATCAGTCCGCCCACCCACGTTGCCATCCAGACTCTTTCAGAACGTGGGGCATTATTTGAGGGTCAGAAAAGAGTAGAAGTGATTCCCAGTTCTCGTCCTCATCGCCTGACTCCCCCAGTGCCTGTATTATCTGATGCACGTGAATGAGTTTTCTCTGGTTCCATCTATGCCTAATATATGAAAATACTTCTTGGAAACATAAAAAATTACACTAATTTAAATAGAGATGGTTTAATAACAAGTTACAGAATTAATATGATCTGGGAGCTCTGGAGGGAATAAATAAATTAGAAAAGAAAGGTGTTGGAGAGAGTAAGATGAAAGAATAAATAAAGAATCTAAAGAATTTAACATTTTTCTTAATTTTTTCTAATGCTGGCTCTGTGTACATATGATTGTCACGTGACAGTTCCTTTTAAAAAGTAGTAGCCAGACTCAGACACTTCCCATAAAATAAGATGCCTTTGAAACACACTTGGCACATCGTGGAGAGCCAGCTGTGCTTTGCAATGAACACAAGAGGGCGCTAAGCTCCACAGTGATGCCCAGGCCACTAAGGCCTGCATCCAGCGTCACAGCATTATATACATACAATTGTTTTCAAGTGATATTTTTTAAAAGTTATACCAAGTGTTAAACAAAAACATAGAGCTTCTCTCCTAGCTATATACGCCTCTAGTTTAGTCGATACCCATCTCAGTTAAATTTGTGATTTGTATGTGCCTGTAAGATTTGCCAGATTGAAGATATCGATATTTCTAAGGAATTAAAATAAGGTTGCTCAGACACGAGGGTATAAAAAGAAAGGTTGCAGAAGCATTGGCAGGGACCATCTAAGCTTTCTCAGTGAAGAGGAAGCCTTAGCAAAGACTTCAAGTGCCATCCCATAAGAAGGCCCACACACTCACATCATTTTAGCAGGAGACCATGAACTCTGAGCCATCTAACCCTCCCCGCTCTATTTCCATGCTCACAAAGCAGCCTCTGACAATTATGTGACTTCTTGGGGTGGCGCGGGGGGAGGTCTGTGTCTATGCATGGACATTCAAGGGTAAAACAAACATTAAAAATCTTGTTTCTTATGGCAAAGCAAAACAAAAATAATGAAAATATTACAATTAAGTATTTGTGGCAGTTATATTTCTTATTTTAGGAGGGTCACAGGAGAGGAAGATTTTAAGATAGCACCCAGAGTTTGAAGCTGGGTGTCAGCTAGGACCATTAACAGACACAGGACGGAACCGTGGGGCCACGGGAGGAAAGGCTTTGCCGCGCATTTGAGGCACGCAGGCTGTTCGTACGGGTGGCAACTATCAACAAGCAGTTAGAAATGAAGCCCTGTGTTGGTACCAGCACAGGGAGAGAGAGAAATACAGGTATGGGAGCCACTGGCCCCGGGGGGATTATTGCATGGATAGAATTACTGAGGAAGAGTCTGGAGAAAGAAGAAATGGGGCCTGAAGCAGCCTTGGGGGTGAGGAAGTAAAACCCACAGGGGCTGAGGAAGTAAGAGCCACGGAGGGCAATGAAACGGGATTCTGCGGTGGGGTCACAGGGGGCAGGTAGGTGTCTTTTGGAAAAGAAAAGAGTAGTGCCAAGTGCTGCAGAGAAGACAAAAATGAAAAAGACTGGATTTTTCTGTTTAAAATCACTGGTTACAGTCAAGAGAACAAGAGAAATTGAAGTAGAAGTCAAATTCTAAGAGCTTACCAGTAAGTAGGCTGGGAACATCTTGTCATACCAGAAAGCAAGGAAACTAAAGGATTTAGAAGCCAATTTGAAAAGGATAACACTGGCCTACAATGGATCAATACAAGCAGCAATAAAGATAGCAACTGTATTAGTTCTCTATTGTTGCTGTAACAAATTACCACAATTTAGTGGCTTAAGACAACAGAAAGTTGCTTATTTCTCTTAGCATGTTTTCATGGTTTATCCATTTTGTAGCATATGTTAGAATTTCCTTTCTTTTTTATTGCTGAATAATATTCCACTGTTCGTGTATACTACGTTTTGTTTATTCACTTGCCACTTGAGAGAATATTTTAAAAGCATTTAGGAAAGTGTTTGGTACATAATATGAGCTTGCTAAATGACACCTAGTAAAGTTTATTGTCATTATAAGGAAAACGTTAGAAGAAAATTCACCAACATTTTAACCATATTTGTATTAGGGTTGAGGGATTCTGTTTTCTTCTCTTTTATAGGATTTGTATTTATTGGTGATGTGGTTTGATAATTGAAAAGTGTTTTAAATACACATATTTTAGCTACTTTACTTTATCTATTTTTTTTTACCAAACTTTTTTAAAAAAGGTGTACACATGCTGCCTCAACCACCTTTCTTGATAATCCTTTTTAAATTCTAGAGCATTGCCCAGTTTGCTCTAAGTGCTGCATTATATTCTGTGCCCAGTGGGTGGCGATATCGACATTTGATCCCACCTGCCGCTTATACCCTCACAGCCTCAGTCTGGTTAACACACACTGATTTATTATAGTCTTAGGGATGTAGGCAGTAGCTCTCCCCTGTTTACGGACAGTGTTCTGTACTGCCACCATCAAAGACAGTGCCAGGTGACATCTGGGCCTGTGAAGTTCCACCTTTCCTGGTTCTGTTCAGCTGCCTCCCTTACCCCAGCTCTTGCCCACCGTGGAATTGCCAGTCATCCTTGGTGACTGAGAAGGAGGAGCAAAAGGTACAGGGAAGAAGAGAGAAGCTGATCCTTTCTCCTTTCCTCAAGCTGGGGTGGAGGAAAGGCTTTAATATGAAATACAGT